TTCAGGCTTCCGATGTGATTTAAAGGCAGAATGGACTGGCTGTACTGGTTGATTCATTATAGGATATAATTTCAAGAGAAAATTAAAACACAGCTTAATATTGTTAGAGCTTGAACTTCAAAATGTTTGGAGATGCCACTAAAAACGAAGGGCTGGGACCTGAAGAAAAGGCTCAGTGGTTAAGAGTACCGTGGTTTCCATTCCAACATATATGTTCATAACTTTCCCAAACTCCAGTTATAGGGGATCCAACGCTCTCTTCTGACCCCTGAGAGCATTTTTTGAATGTGGAAAATAAACTCACTTAGGCACATAAATACATGCATAAATGACATAAATAAATAAAATTTAAAATTTTAATTATACTTTTATTGCATGTAAACGAGGTTTGGCCTGGATATATACCACATCTGTGTCTGGTGAGAAGAGGCTGTTGGATTCCTGGAACCTGAGTTACAGACAGCTGTGATTCACCATATGGGAACTGGGAACTGAACCCGTGTCCTCTGGAAAAGCAACACTCCAGCCCTCATAAATGAACATATTTTAAATGAAAGTTTAAATGAATAGGAAGATTTCAGAAGGCATGGATCAGGGAGAAATATGGAGGGGTATGTCTTCTGTAAGACAGGTTTAACACTCCTATTAGTCACGAAGGTGAAGACCTTGACCAGATTGCTGTCTACAATCCAAGGGAAATATTTAGAAAACATGTAAATTTGGGAGTCATTATCAAAATAATTGGAAATTTAAAACATGAAGCAGAATTAGATCATAGAGGTTTTGTAAGTATTTAAACAGTAATAAGTAAATGTGCACTGTTTTTCTTCAATAACAAATGGCTTATACATAATAGAAAAAAGAAAACCTTCAACTTGACTGCAACACACTGAAGAACCCCTTTTCAGAAGTTAGGCCCTGAGCACAGGGCTTCTCCAACGAGATAACCCTTAGCCTTGCATGGTTCTTGCCTCAGGCAGATTGCCCTTTTACCTAGGCTCACTCCATGGGCAACTTCACTTAGGGGCCCACTTCTAGCTGCATGGTCTCTGCTCCTTCAAGACATAATTTCCTCTCTGGTAGTTTCTTGCATTTTAATGTTCCCCTGAGGTATTCTCTATACACAGCAGGCTGAATGTCTGAGCTGCCTTGGTCATCACCAGCTATATTAATTTTTAAATTTTGTTACTACTTTGTTTATAAAGTCACATACATTTTGAGTGTTCTACTGCAGCTCTGTTTTTTCCGCTAAGCCTGTTTAGCTTTAACATGTGTTTCTTGTGATTTTACTGTGTAATATTAGATTTTAGGGCCGGGTATATCATTTTATAATTCAAATGTTTGCATATATGTAGTAGATATGTTGCATAGATATGTTGCAATTTGTCCACATCATTTCGTATATCTTAACCTTTAAGAATTATGCCTATCATATAGAGTGTCAGGTACATAAGTCCTCTACTTCTAGAGACACTGACAAATTAATAAATAGGCATGTTCACATATCCAAAATTCACCTCTTAGAATAAACTATTGGCTTGTCCATTATCCAAGCTAGGCAATCAGAACACACTACCTCACTGTTAAACATAACCTGAACCAACCAGAACTAACACCTGTCTGTCCTTCATTACCCACAATAGCCAATCAAAGTATAATGCACAACTGTCTACCATGACCCAAGCTACAGCACCTGTCTATTCAGTGTGACTTAAACAAACTAGCATCCATGATGTATATGCTTCTTCATCATGACCCAAGCCAGTCAGTCAGAGTATACTACTTTCCTGTCAGTTGATTGAAGCTAGCCAACCAGAACTATTTTTAAGTTTTATTTTCGGCATGCAAATATTTTGCATTCATAAATTTCTTGTACCACAGGAGTGCCTGGTGCCCATGGAAGTCAGAAGAGGGCATCCTATCCCCTGGAATTGGAGTTATGGAGGATTGTGAACCACTACCATGTAGGTGCTTGGAACTGAACCTGAGCCCTCTCCAAGAGTAAGAAGTGCTCCTATCCATTGAGCTACCTCCCTAGCTCCCATAGTGGTATTCTTAATGGTCATGACCTTGTCTTATTCATGTTGCTATGCCTAGGACCAATTGTAATGCCTAGGTCACAGAAGATACACAGTAAATATGAATTAATGAATATATGACTCTGGTAATATTAATACATTTGCATGCCTGATCACCTTGGATAAGAGGATATATTATCATATATATATGCAACTTGTTGAAGAATGTATGTTTTTGATAAGTGAAGGTTTTTTTTTTGGTTTTTGAGACAGGGTTTCTCTGTATTGTTTTGGAGGCTGTCGGTCCAGCCTGGCTTTGAACTCACAGAGATATGCCTGCCTCTGCCTCCCGAGTGCTGGGATTAAAGGCGTGCGCCACCACCGCCCGGCTAAGAGCAGGTTTTTATTGAAGCTAAAACAAAACAAAAATAGCAAAGCATTTCTTTTTTCAACTCTTTTTTATTTTAATTTTAAATAGCTTGTTTTACATGTCAATCCCAGTTCCCTCTCCTTCCCCTCCTCCCGCGACCCCCCACCATCCCCCCCCAGCCTCCCACCCTATCCCCACTTCCTTCCACATAGGGGATATCTAGAGTCTGTCATTTCACTCAGGGCAGGGTCCAGGCACTCCTCTAAGAGTCCAGGCTGAGAGAGCATCCCTCTTTGTGTTATAGACACACAATGTCTGTTTGTATGACAGGGATAAACAGTGATCCACTGCCCAGGGCCCCGTAGGTTGCCCAGGCCTCCTCACTGACTCTCACATTCAGGGGGTCTGGATCAGTCCTATGCTGGCCTCCCAGCTGTCGGTCTGGGGTCCAAGAGCTCTCCCCTGTTCAGATCAGCTGTCTCTGCTGGTTCTGAACCCAAGGAACTCAGTGACACAGAGAGAGGAGAAATGAGCAAATTGGCAAAGAATGGGCTGGCAAAACCGGCAAAGCATTTCTTGCTAGGCAATTTTCCATTATTGTAATAAATACCTGTGGCAATCAACTTATAAAGTGAAAAAGTTTATTTTAGTCTAGAGTTTTAGGGTTTCTGGTCCATGATCAACTGGCACCATTGCTTTGTCCCCATGGTAAGACAGAAGTGCACTGCAAAGCAAAATTGTTCAACTTATGAATGAAAAGTAATAAAAAAGAGGAAGGAATGTATTAGTGTCCCAGTACCCTAGTCTGTTTATATATCCCTAATGGCTTTAAATCCTCTCACTAGGCCAAACCTGGTAGCGCCAGGGGCTAGGGACCAATTAATCCTTCAACACCTTTGGAGGACACCTAAGATCCAAACTATAGCAAATTCATTGAGATAAAAATGGAAAATAAGGCAAGAAGAGAACATGTGCAGTAGGGAAGCATTAGAAAAGAAAGCCAAGTGGGAAAACCCCCACCACTTTACGGAATTAAGGAGTAGTGCTAGAGAAATCCAGGACTGCCATTATTTAGTAATGTTGATGCGGAAGAAAATCAAGGAAAAGACTGCAAAAAGGTAAAAAAAATAAAATAGGTAGAAGCAGTGGCAGATGTAGGGAGGATCTGAATGGTAACTTTGCTCCCTGAGTAAAGCTTTGGTTTTTAACTGTATGTTAGGGCATCTGCAGGAGTATTGGGAAGTTGAATAAAATGTCCTAGCATTCATGCATCCTGTTATGAGAGAAATTTCTGTTTATAATGATGATGAGAAGGTGGCGGGATGATGAGAGGTGGTGGGTATTGGGGAAGATACCCTACTGTACTGAGTAGGCACATTCTTCCTTCCTTTACCAAAGCTGTAGAAAACACAGCAGCCTTGTTGAGAAAATGCTCTTACTTCTTCCTTTTCTTGTTTCATTTTCTATGAACTCTACCCCTCCATCTCTCAAAGCAAAAGTAAGCCATTTCTGTACGTTCTTTGTCCCAACATATATATATATATATATATATATATATATATATATATATATATATATATGGTAGTCAGATGTGGTGGTACATGCCTTTAATTTCAGCACTCAGGAGGCAGATGCAGAAACATCTGAGTTCTGTGCCAACCTAATATATATGGCGTTCCAGGCCAGCCAAGGCTACCAAAAAAGGGAATGTGATGATGTTAATCCCCTCCAATGAAATTAACATTCACTCACCCCCCCCACCCCCAGTCTCCTGCACGCTTGGATTGCAGACATGTGCTACCTCCTCCAGTTTGGTCTCAGTTTTAGTATAATACAGGCAGGACTGTCATTTCATCACCTTCCCCACCAAGAGACTGTTAACAAGGAAGCACCATGTACTGGGGCAGAATCTAGAGCTTTATTTGATGGGGGCAATACCGATTGTTTGAGCTTATTCCAGACTAGGGCCTCATAAGTGTACCAAAGAAGCAGAGCCTTCGCTGCTCATCTCACTGAAGATTTAAAGAGGGTGTCTCTTGCTACATCATGAGTTCATCATTCCTCCAAACTAGTTTTCCAGGACCCTGGGGCACCTGCAAGAGGAATATATCAAAAGAGGGGGGTCTTAGGAGACAGGACTAACTAGTGTGTGGCCAATGGTGGGCAGTAGGGTACTTCAGGAATAGCTACTAAGTGTAGAAGAGGTGGGACCTTGGCCATATCCAGCTGGGAGGCAGGGTGAGGAGTGAGTCCCTGGTAGATCCAGTCAGTTGGAGGAGCCAGGCACACCTTCTCTAGGATGAGTGCTTTCTGGTGCTACCCGCAAGGGGAAGAATGAGGATGGGGTGCGGGACCTCTGAAAGGGTTTGATTGGTTCTGAAGGCCTTGACAATACTGAGTCCAGATGGCATGTGGAAGGTGTATAGGGCTTGCATAGACAGAGGGAGGACAGCCAGGGACCTGCAGAGTTTGGGGTCAAGAGGTGAAAGAGCCCAGCGACAGAAGCGCGGTTGTATGCCTGGCTGGATTGTGGCGCCGCCGCCTGGTGGAGCCTGGCACTCAGCCTGTGGGTAGGGGAGGCTGGAGACCGCCTCCCAGCTCCGTCCCTCTACCTGCTGGGGGCGGGGAGGAAGAAAGGCGGGCACCAAGCGTTAGGGTGAGTCACTCCTCTTCCTAGGGTTAGGAGAGGGACTTCTCTCCTTTCCCGGGGTCTGCGCATCAGCTCCAGGCTCCGGGCTCCAGTTCCGCGACTCCCTCAGCTACTCTCCCAGGCGGCGCGTCTCCCGCCTCCCTTCTGAGGCTGGACCCGTCGCCTTTCCGTGTAGGTGAGGACTAGGTAAGTTCTCTCCATTTGATACCCTCTGTTAGGGTGTTAGCTGCGAGGGGTGAGGTGGGGGGGGGTCTTCCAGGCTGTGTCTCTGTTAGCCTTTGCTGCCTTCCTCTGGTTCTTTCCATTGTAGACAGAAAGTTAGATTTTAAAAAACGCGTCAGAGAATATCCGTGCTTAGACTCCCAGCCAAACCAAACTCTGGAGCCATATTCTTAATTTCCCGGGTGCCTTCAAATGTCCTGATGCTGCGTTTATGGGACAAGGTATGTTTGGTTTGTTTAGTCTTTGCTTACTCAACTCCCCCACCCAGCACCTCTTTTTGTTCCTGGGTAATTTTTAGAGGTGGGGACAGTAGAGCTCCAGAGCTGAGCTGGGATCCTTTGCTATGCGCTTTCTTCATTTAGCAAGGTGGCTGGAAGTCTCATGCAGCCTGAGTTGGGATCTTGGAAGAACCATTCTAGCCCAGGACACATCACAGCTGGAAAAGAACTGCAATTATTGCATACCGATAAAGTGAGCACGGACAGAAGCAAAATATTTTGGAGGTACAGTCTGTGCCAATGCAACACCAAATGTTGAGAGAATTCATTGCAAGACTCCATGGAATATTCTAGGAAAAATTTTTAGATTATTGCTGTTTTTGTATTTTCTGTTTTCCGAGATGCTTCAAAGCCTGTTATTTCCCTTGCAGGAACATCAGTGAGAATCTGTTCTGTTTCTTAGAAGGATTTACCTGTACAAAGCTACATTTTAGTTTGTCCTCTGTCAGTGTATCAGGGGAGGGAGTGTCAAATTCATTGCTTGTAGAAAAATCGATTTGGGGAGGGGGTATTTCTCCTTTCAATACCATTAAGCAGCAAAATACCTCTGTGGCTATTAGACACTAATTATTGCTGTCGTTTTTGCATAGAAGTAACAGAGAGTGGACGCTGAGATTCATTAATCTGGGGCTCATGCTGGCAACTGCTTGTCAGTATTATTCAGTTTGATGTGATGGTAACAGGTGGTCTTAATTCACATCGCAAAATGATTCTGCTACCTGATGGTACAGTACCAAAGTACTCCTAAAATCTAGTATTGCCTTTTATCTTTGAGGGGGGATATGGGCGAAGGAATATTTTCTGGTTATTTGTTAGCCCCTGATCATAGATTGCTGTTTTCTGAATTGTCATGTGGATTACAATCTATCACCATATAAACAAACCCCTCTTGAAAGAAAATTAGTGAAACTTGAGATGGTTAGTCAGGCCACAGGGAGTCCTTGATAATCACCTTTCTATGACTTGCAGGGAGCCCTTCAAAATAAGTTCTAGTTCTTACTTCCTTGATAACCTAGCTCTTCATCCCTCTATCATGAGTCTTATTCACATTTTTATCACTAGAATTTAGTAAAGTAGAACTATGTTGGAAATATGAGTGAATGATTAAATTATTTTGCTGTTCATATTTCTCAAATTCTACTTGGGCAAGTTTCCTCTTCATCCCTAGAATGTAATAATAAAGTCCATGTGATTCAGTGGTATTCATAATGTGTAGATCATCAGGAGTATACTGTTTTATAAATAAGAATATGACTATATACATGTGTCACACACATACACATTTATGTTAAAAGTGTCTTTAGCAATAGAGAAGCCTGATAGCAGGTGAACTTAATGGGTCAATACCTTATCTTTATGATTTCAAAATGGCTTCAGCTGCTCCAGATATGATGTCCTTATACCATATTCAAGGACAAGAAACAAAGGGTGGAAAGGGGAGAGTGTTTTCCTTTGTGTAACTTTCTCTTTTCAGAGGACTAAAAAATACTTTTCCTCAAAGGTTCCCAACAAATGCCATTTTATGTCGTTGGCAGAAGCTGGGGTACATAAACTGCTCTTAGTGGCAAGAGTGGCTGGGGAAGTATCAAGAGTTTTAGCTTCTCTAATGGAAGGTTTATTGTGAGGGGTGTTGTTGATAGCTTTGGAGAGCTAGCCAGAAGGTCTTCCAGAATGTTTTGAAAAATTTTGAAGTTGTGATTGAGTCATCAGTTGGGCCTAGTAAAGTAAAATATTACTCAAGGTAGCAAAATCACATTTAGAAAAGATTCCCCCTGCCCCAAATTGTACCCTATTTTTGTTATGTCTGTGAAACCTTCATGTGTTGATCATTAATCCACATTGTGAGAATTTAAGAAGGTGGACACTTAACCTGACTGTGATATGTATAAGTAAGGCCTTTAGGAAGAGATTAGGGTTGGATATGGTCATCAGGGTAGAGCTTTCACCACTGAATACTGGTGGCTTTATAAGAAAATGGTGGAGGAGGCAAGAGAACACTTACGTGCATTTTCCATCAATTACTTTGTGAAACCCTGCACTATCTCAGGACTCTGCCAGCAAGATCACCACCAGACTTGGGTCTATGAATATCAAGGTCCCTGAACTAAATGAACCATACAACCACACACACAGAGCCAAAAATGGACTAATACATTAACAGTCAGAAAACTATATCTTATACATTCACATTCACATATAAATCTTACATGGCTTCCATTAATATTAAATATAAATCAGACCCTCCAGTTCCTGGAACACAGCAAACTGTTAGTAAATAGTTCTCTGAGTTGATTATTGGGTTTGAGAGCATCAGGGATATGGAAAAAGTGGAAATGATTTAGCACTTAAATGCTGTTTAGTACTGTGACACCAGAACTCTGGTGTGAGAATTTACAGAATCTAAGTCTTTCATTTGGATCCTAAGAGCCTTGAAAGCATCTTAATGAAAGGAACAAAGAAAGTCTAGCAAAAAGGGGTGCTTAAAACTTAGGTGAACAGTTTGAGGAAGGGGCTTTGTAGCATGAAAAATAAAAGAGCCAGAGACAGATATTGGGATTCAAGCTTCAAGTTGAAGATTAGAGAAGCAAAGCAGCCAAGCCAGCAGATATTACCTCAGCTCAGGCTGAAACGGCAGTCCTGTCTCCATGAATCCTCAGAGGCAAAAGCTCTCAGTTCCTGTCCCCTCCTGTCTTTTATTCCTTTCTCCACCTCGCCATATCACTCCTGTCTCCTCCCTAGTGCTTGGATTAATGGAATGTGATCCCAGGTGCTGATATCACCTTTGTGTGAGTTGTTTCTTTTAGGTCTGGATCAATTTTTTGTAATCAGTGTGACCTTGAACTAACAGAGATCAGCCTACCTTTTAATTCTGAGTCCTGGGATTAAAGGTGTGTACCACCACCACCTAGCTTCTATAGCTAACTAGTGTGGTTGGCATTGCATCCTGAACCCTCAGGCAATCTTTAGTAAATCATAAAAAATATATTACCATAGGGCTTCTCTATACCTGTACTGTGGAAGATGTCTTTGTTACAGAAGGCGGGGCAATAACAAAATAAAAGGCCAAATAACTGAAAATGTTCATGTATGATGAAAACACTATCATCATAAAATAGCCAGCTGTTTTGATTTCCTCCTTGTTAGGAATACTCAATGTATAGAAGGTCCAACTTTGGAAACAACAGCAGGAGATTGGATAAGCAAGAATCAGAGACTGGAATTTTATATTTTAGAGCTCTAAGTCTTGGATGGTTTGCCTGTTAAGCAGGTTGTAGATATCAACAGCTTTCAAACATTGCTACTCAGTAACAGTCTCTGGGGGAGTTTTTAAAAGCCAGATTTACAGATTAATCCTTAGGTCACTTATGTTGGACACTTTGGGAATGGGAACAAAGCACTTTAAGTGTTTTTAAAATGCCTCCTATAATTGTCAATACCTACTTGAGTTTAGAGACTTAATTTTCTGAAATTGCCATACTACATACCACAAAGGATGTCCTGGAGATTAAAAGTCTAAGATCAAAGCACCAGTAGGGTTTCCTATTTGTGAGACTGATGGCTTTGATTTGGATGCAGGTGCCCTCTTGCTGTGTTAGTCCATAGCCTTTCTTCTTTGCAAATCTGTGGTGCGCCATCCACATTCTAAGGACATCATTCTCAGTAGGTTTACTCTAATCATCCCATTTTAATGTGGTCACATCTCTAAAGGACCTGTTTTCAAATATAGAAATATTCTCAGGTCCTGCCTGTTAGAACTTGAGCATAACAAGGTGAGAAGGTGCACAATTCAGCCTGTGACAGAAAGTGAGGTATAAGCAAGGCACTTCTTACATTTGAGGGTGCACATAAGTCACCTAGAAACTTCATTAAAATGCAGAGGTCACTTCTTAATATGAGGCATGAGAATGCACAGTTCTCATACATCCCTGGTTACATAATGTTGCTGCCTCATAGATTGTCTTTTAAGTAGTGTGGTCTGTGTAGATCAGTGACAATCGAACTTAGGAGTCGCCAAACTCCACAGATTTCTGGGGTCTGAGCTGAGAATTTGTGATTCTATTAATTTGGTGTAGAGCCCAAGAATTTGCATTTCTAACACATTTTCAGATGATACCTATGTCACTTGTGTAGGGATGAAGGTTTGAAAGACACAGATCATTGACATTTTGAAATTTTATGGTGTTGTTGAAGTCATGGCCATTACATATATCATGGTATGTGAAGTTTATCTATGATGTTCACTATTTTAATACTAACAGTATTATGTTTTATTTTGTCAAGATTACCTCCCCCATACAACAGTGGATGAGGAAAATGTGATGAAGTACTTCATTGGAATTTGTTAACATGTTTGTACAAATAGAAGTAGGTGACCATGTATAGCCTCATTTATCTCTAGTCATGTTCTCCAAGACAACTAACTTGCAATTTCCTATTTTTACCATCTTAAAGATGATTGTGTAAGACATCTATGCAATTTAAAAAAGATTAGCCACTATAGAGAATGTATGTCTCCCAAAGGGACTATGAGAGTTTCTCAAAACACATTAATTTAAAATAATTTCTTATTTAGTCCTATTATCATTTCTACACGAGACTCATAGTGTACTGTATTAAAGAGTATCTTTTCCCCAAAATAACTGGAGATGAGAAAAACATGTTGCTTGTTCATTGAGAGTTAAATGA